TTCACATTGCTAAATATAAGCTGTGTATGAGAGTACTAATATTGTAGGATTTAGAATATAGAATTATTCACATACAAATCATTTAAGATTTTGCTAATAAAGAACGAATGTGGAATATGTTTTTTCTTGTATTTCTCAATAGGGATGGAAAATATGGTTTCTCATTTTGTAGAATCGGTATGGAATAAATAAATATAATTTTTTTGTAAAATCTACTTTCCGAAATTATTAATCATATGTTATGATATATCTATTTATATTTTTAACTTTGTGTTTTATATTGTTCCATGAAACTTTCATGCATAGACATATTACAATATCACATGCACAGATATATTATTATAATAATAAATTTATATCTTTATAAAGTTATGTTCAAATATAATATTATAAAATATGTTTTGCCATTGATAAAAATTAAGATAGTAACAATATAATACAAATATTATTACTACAATTATTAAATACAATATTAGCTGCAGTTATATTTTAATTATTATTATAAATATAACTTAAATATAGAAAAATAAATTTGCGCTTGACAAAATATTGTGGATTTATTCGACAAAATGTCCTTTTTATCAATGTGTGTGTGCAGGCAAGAGGCTGCGAGAGAACCTTTTGTGCACTGCTTGTGTGTCCCTTTCAAGTACATGCAAAAGTGCAGCTCTCTCTTTCTCCCCTGCTGCGTTCAGTTATGGCCAAATACAACAGTTATGTATGGTAAATAAATCGGCATCGATTTATTAACCAAAATTAATAAATTTATTAATTTTTAAACTAATACACTTCGTAGAATATTCGACAGAGATTGTGTCCCTGATTTTTGACTCACTAGCCTAGCATAAAAACTTCGCTGTTTATTATATATATACTATATCAAGATATATATATATATATATATATATATATATATGTATATATATTATTAATAATTTATAGATTACGTTTTTAAAAGAACGTGAAAACAGGTTATCATTAAAAACGCTGGAAAAATATTATAAAAGATGTACTGCCTGATATTTATTTACTGATATCTATTTCCGCATAAATAAATAAATAAATAAATAGATATATATATATATATATATATATATATATATATATATATAATACCTTAATTAACTCATATTTTTATTGTATTGAATATAAATACTTGAACCGCACATTAATCATCAGTGTCATACTGTGTTATACCGTTATACCAACTATCGAAATTCGACACACGCACACATAGAAACGCGTCTTCTTTGGCACAAGCAAGAAATTTCTCGAAGCGTTGTTCCAGAAGTTTGTTAAATCTTTAAGTAACTAGCTGTAAGTGGAATTCTGTCTTAAGGCAATTAAGGCATCGTGCCTTAAGGCAAATTGCTGGAACTTCCCGTACCAAAAATTATTATTTTTTTAAAAACGATTAACATTTTTGAAAAAAAAAATTACTTTGAAAAAATAAGATTTTTGAGAAACTATAAATTGGACAAAAAATTACTTTTTTTTGAAAAAAATTTTTTAAAAAAAAATTTTTTTTTTAATTTTTTTTTTTTGAAAATGTTTTTTTTTTTATTTTGACATATTGTGGAAGATCTGAACTTTCTTTTCAAAGCAATCGTACTGCTTTAACTGCATAGGGACAAAATATAAAGCGCGTGAGCCCCGCGTCGCTGTCTAACGCATAAGCATTGGGTACGGAACCCATAGGAATGTTAACAAAATGTATACTTATTGTTAAAATCTCTATAAAATATCTGATAATTTGATGTGCATATGTCTAATGATCATTTTTGACCGCCAAATGGCTCATTTTTTTACTCTTTTCCTCCATATCTCCGAAACCGCTAGACCTACCTTCATGAAAATTTTATCGATTCTTCATCTTGTCAATACAAGTGAAATGTTTTTTGAATTATTCAAATCGGACGCTCCGTTCTCTCAAAAACTGAGCTACCGTTTTCGGCACTTTTTGCCCCGTATCTTTGGAACGGCTAGACCTGCCTTCGCCAAAAACTAATCAGCACGTCTCCTTATCAATACGAATCGAATGTTTTTTGAATTATTCAAATCGGTTGACCCGTGTTCCCGAAATCGTCGACGAAAATTTGTATCCGCACATACATACACACACGTACACACACACACACACATACACACACACACACATACATCCATTTTTTCTAAGGTATGCCAAAATGTTCAGAAACCTCTGAAACGTAAAGATATATAAAAATTTTCATTTTCGATTTTTTTGCGATTACTATAACTTGCCCTACGGGAAGTTAATAAACAATAATAATAGTGTGTAAACTGTGATAAAATTAATAAAAGTTAATGTGTGAATAAAATATTATTTTGTGAAATTAAAAACGAAACTTGGTGTGTGAAATTATAGTGAATAACAGAATTATTGGTGTATAATATGAAATAATAATTTGTTATAACCTCACTGACATGGAAAATCAAGTGAACTCTTAATATCTCAAATGATTAGTACTTATACATAAACAAACATTAATTATGGCACGAAAAGTTATATCATAAATATTAAATATATTTTTAATATTTTATATCCTATAATCATGGAAAATAATATGTAGAGTAGACTATAATAAAATTAATTATGGCACAAAATGTTATATTATAAATACTAAATATATTTTGAATATTATATATCCTATAATCATGAAAAATTATTTGAAAATTGTAATAAAATTGATGAAATTCAATATATTGTCTATTTAAACATTGTATATATTTATTCAGAATACATAATTTTTTTTATTAATGGTGTTTGTTCAATATTAATTGAATAATATTTAATATTTCAGAATATAGGGTCAATAATTTTGAATATGGTTTATATAAATTTTTCAATATGGTATAAATATTATTTCCACATATTCTCCTTTCATTCGGAATATGAGCGTAATATGGAAAAATGTTAAGCAAATCGTATAAGCTAAATATCATATTCCCGCATTCGTCCCTCATTACGAATCTGAGCGGAATATGACCGAATGTTAACAAAATCATATGGGCTCAATATTTGAAAATCATATTTAGCTTACATAAAAATCATATTCAGATCAGATTCATTGCTACTAGGGGTGTGGTGTTACCCAGCGTCAATTGGTGGAGTAGTCTAGGAATCCCGACTGCTCTTAAGGCGAATAGCCGTTGCTGGGGTTTTATTGGTGCTTTGGATAGCTTTTCAATAATGCTCTGTAACTTCTCTTTCAGGTCGCACAAACGCACCTTCCGGAGTAAAAGATACACCTAGATAGGTCCATATTTCTACCCTGGAGAGAGCAGGTAAATCACGACCACCACACCTGAACTTAATGCTCTTATCAATAATCGATTTCTTTGCGTGTGGCACATTTCTGATGGTAATAGAGAATGACTTGGCGTTGTTAACTATAAGGCCACACTTTGATAGAAAGTCGTCAGCGTGGTCAAGCAGTACTTGAAGACCTTTTTGAGACGATGCCACAAGGACAATATCGTCCGCAAAGGCTAAGATATTTAGCGTCATTCCCTCCATCATAACCCCGATCTCAGGTGGGGCACTTTCAATAAGTCTGTTAATAATAAGATTGAACAAAACTGGTGACAAAGGGTCTCCTTGTTTCACACCGCTCCTCGGACTAATGGGATCCGAGTACCAGTTTTCATACCGGAGTCTTGTCCAGCTGTTCGTATAGGTATTATTAATGTAATCCACACATCTATCAGGTAGGTTGTAAAATTTTAAGGTATCAATTAGTGCCTTATGTGATACCGAATCAAACGCTTTTGCGACGTCGATTGAAGCAATAAATACAGGTTTAAATTTTTGCCTGTGATACTTTAGTAAATAATCAAGTGCGAATATGTTATGTGCACATCCATCGATCGGCTGGAAAGCTGTTTGTCTATTATCAATTTTATTGGACTCTGTCATTCGTTTAGCTAGTATCTTATGGAAATGCCTTGTAATCACTGATGAGACCGTAATCGGTCTGAAGTCACCGGGATTCTCAGCATTATCCTTTTTGGGAATCAGCGTAGTGTAAGATTCCAGTAGTTGTTCGGGGATGTTTCCCATGAACAAGAATATGTTATACAGGTTTACCAAGGTGTTTGTTGGTATCGATCTTAAAAGGCTAGCTGATATCCCGTCCGGTCTGGGCGCTGAATTGTTGGCCGGGTAGCTCTTAATTATTTCATTTGGGATTATAGGCTTCCATATGTGCGAGAGATCTTGGGTTCTCGCTTTTTCCGACCCGGGCGATAGCGTAGAATCTCCGGTCATAACGTTGGTCCAGAATTGTGTCTGTTGAAGGTTTGTTAGAGACAACTTTGTTATCTAGAATAAATTGGACACACTTCGTTGGGTTTCTCGCCCAATGTAGTTGAGTAATTTTGTATTGGTGCCTCCTAAGTTCTCTCTTATTTTGTCTTTTAGGGTGCTTTCCTCTTTTTGTGCTTTTGATGTGATTTGGTGGTGATTTGTTCTTCTGAGGATAGATTGACTTAAGATAGTCAGCAACTCTTACTTTTAGATCGCTTAGCGTTATTGCGCTAACTGAGTGGCAGATATTCGTCAGAATTTTATCATTAAATTTTTCTACTGTATTTGAGACTGCCTGTGACAGTGCCTCTAATAGTGCGTTACCGGTGGTATCTGTAGTAACCGGAGAACAAGGCTCGGTGTTATTTTGGTTTGACATCATATTAACGAAATCAGTAACCTGCCTTTTATACTTCGGTGATCTCCTTTGGCCTTTAATGGCCAAGAGAGATCGACCGGGTGTAACAGACAGAAGGGCTTTGTTTATATGGGAAGATCCCTTAATCACTAAAGCTGCTTCTTCCTTAGCCATGAGCGCTTGTTCCTCTTCCGTCCATCTGGCTTTCTTTGGCAGCAAGATAGATCGGCGGGGGGCCTAGACACGGGACCGAGCTCGGATCTAAGTCACAAGGACAATTTAACCTCGCCCTGGCCCGGCACATCGGCCTACGCCCGCTTCCCAACCAAGCCCGGCACGCCCCGATCCTCAGAGCCAATCCTTATCCCGAAGTTACGGATCCAATTTGCCGACTTCCCTTACCTACATTTATCTATCGACTAGAGGCTCTTCACCTTGGAGACCTGCTGCGGATATGGGTACGAACCGGCGCGACACCTACCGTGGCCCTCTCCTGGATTTTCAAGTTCCGAGGGGAAGATACGGACACCGCCGCAACTGCGGTGCTCTTCGCGTTCCAAACCTTATCTCCCTTCTAGAGGATTCCAGGGAACTCGAACGCTCATACAGAAAAGAAAACTCTTCCCGTATTTCCCGACGGCGTCTCCAGGTCATTTTGGGTTACCCCGACGAACTCTCTTGCGAGGGCCCGACTTGTAAACGGTTCCGCTGCCGGGTTCCGGAATAGGAACCGGATTCCCTTTCGCCCGATGGGTGTGAAATTTTATTCAAAATAAAATACACCGACATCAACATAGGATTTCTCCTGGGCCTCGCTGGAGTATTTGCTACTACCACCAAGATCTGCACCGATGGCGGCTCCAGGCAGGCTTACGCCCAAACCCTTCTGCGCACACCACCGCGACCCTCCTACTCACCAGGGCGTCAAAACAAACTATTATGAACGTTTCTCATGCCTTGGCGGCCGAGTACAGGCACGACGCTTCATCGCCATCCATTTTCAGGGCTAGTTGCTTCGGCAGGTGAGTTGTTACACTCTCCTTAGCGGATTCCAACTTCCATGGCCACCGTCCTGCTGTCTTAAGCAACCAACGCCTTTCATGGCATCCCATTAGCGTCGTTTAGGCGCCTTAACTCGGCGTTTGGTTTATCCCACAGCGCCAGTTCTGCTTACCAAAAATGGCCCACTAGGCACTATGATCCAAATCTCCAAATATTCAAGCAAGCCAGAGATCTCACCCATTTAAAGTTTGAGAATAGGTTGAGGTCGTTTCGGCCCCAAGGCCTCTAATCATTCGCTTTACCGGATGAGACTCGCTCATCGAATGCCAGTTATCCTGAGGGAAACTTCGGAGGGAACCAGCTACTAGATGGTTCGATTAGTCTTTTGACCCTATACCCAGTTCCGACGATCGATTTGCACGTCAGAATCGCTACGGTCCTCCATCAGGGTTTCCCCTGACTTCGACCTGACCGGGCATAGTTCACCATCTTTCGGGTCCTAGCGTGTACGCTCTGAGTGCGTCTCTTCTCGCAATGAGAGTGAGACGCCTCGGGATTGCAAGCACGCATCCGTAGATGCGGTTCGTCATCCCTCAGTTTACTTAAGCAAACCTTTACGTTCATTGCGCCTTTAGGTTTTGTATTTCCCAATGACTGGCGCACATGCTAGACTCCTTGGTCCGTGTTTCAAGACGGGTCCTGAAAGTACCCAAAGCAATAGCATCGCTGACCGGTAATATTGTCCGTTCGAGAACACGGTAGCTAACAGCTCGAGGCGGCATCGATGCTGGACTAGGTCCGACGGCCAATAACCGTCCGTGCTTGCAACCGGCCGAACGCTTAAAAGCGACCCTATACCATATCATTTATACCGTCTGGCAGTCGGGCGGAGCACGCGGGGTCTGGCGCGAATAAATTCGTGACAGGATACCGCCGCGGTCGTAGATCGACACCAAACGGGTCGCGACGTCCTACTGAGAGAGAAGTGCATGCCAAGGCCGCCTGACACATAAACCAACGGCGTATCGCGGGACGAATCCCGGTCAATCGCACGCCACTAAATGGAAGACAACGATAACATTGAATCTCTCCTTTCGATCTTTCGGGTTTCTCAGGTTTACCCCTGAACGGTTTCACGTACTCTTGAACTAGCTCTTCAAAGTTCTTTTCAACTTTCCCTCACGGTACTTGTTTGCTATCGGTCTCGTGGTCATATTTAGCCTTAGATGGAGTTTACCACCCACTTAGAGCTGCACTCTCAAGCAACTCGACTCTGAGGAGAGATCCTCTCGATACGCGCAACGGTCGCTACGGGCCTGGCACCCTCTATGGGTAAATGGCCCCATTCAAGATGGACTTGAACTCGCCGCAACGCACCGAGATAATCGGATCCTCCCTAACACTACATTTCCCAGCGTCCGTCTCCGGCCGCGGGATTTAGTGCTGGGCTCTTCCCTGTTCGCTCGCCGCTACTAAGGAAATCCTAGTTAGTTTCTTTTCCACCGCTTAGTAATATGCTTAAATTCAGCGGGTAATCTCATCTGCTCTGAGGTCGTATTATGATTATGATGTGCTCGCAAACGTTAGTAAGCAAACGCACACAAAATCGACGAGGAACCTTTGAATCGTCCAAATTTGCCGGAACGAAACCGCATTTCGAAGAGTTCGGGTTTCCGGTTATCGGGAGGGTCGCAAGAATATAAAATCTCTAGGACACACAACCCGCCGTAATCCCACAGAACGTCAACGAACGGAAATGTCCGATGTTGCAAAGTGGACTGGCTCACACGTTGAGTGAATTATTTAAGAGCACGCATATACGCGAAACTCCATAATTCGCCGGCAAGCCGTTTAAAGCAAGCGGCATACTGGTAATGTTATACGACTCTCAGCCAGAGGTGGTCCGGGAACAGTATCCGAGGACCGCAATGTGCGTTCGAAATGTCAATGTTCATGTATCCTGCAGTTCACATGTCGACGCGCAATTAGCTGCGTTCTTCATCGACACACGAGCCAAGTGATCCACCGTTCAGGGTGATTTTATATATATTTATACATGTTTAGATCGTGATTCCCTCGAAATCGTTCAAGATAACTCGGGCGATTCTGAAACTAGTATGATTATTATGGTTACAATTAGTACACCGTAAAGCTTTCGCGTTTCTGTATGCCAAAATATTCAGTAACTTTTGAAACGTCGAGAAATGCAAAAATTTTCATTTTCGATTTTTTTGCGATTACTATAACTTGCCCTACGGGAAGTTAAAAACTTTAGTTTACATGGAAGACATTATAATTTACGGTAAATAAAACGCTTGACGAACACAATAATAAACTAACAGAAGTATTCGAAAAATTGAGACAGCATAATTTAAAAATACAACCTGAAAAATGTCATTTTTTGAAACATGAAATAGCATATTTAGGTCACATTATTAGCTCTAACGGAGTTTCTCCCGATCCACAAAAAATCGCCGCAGTAAAAAATTTTTCTTCTCCTACTAACCAGAAAGAAATTAAAATATTTTTAGGCTTATCTAACTATCGCAAATTTATTAAAAATTACTCGCAAATTGCATTACCTTTAACAGAATTATTGAAAAAAGACGTAAAATTTGTTTGGACTGATAAGTGCGAGAAGGCTTTTAACGAATTAAAAAATAGGCTAATCAATTCCCCTTTACTACAATATCCTGATTTTGACAGAGAGTTTTCTTTAACTACAGACGCCAGCGGTTTTGCATTAGGCGCAATCTTATCGCAAAAAGTTGATGGAAAGGATTTGCCTATTGCGTACGCATCTCGGACTTTACATTCATCCGAAAAGAACAATTCCACATTAGATAAAGAATTGCTAGCCATAGTCTGGAGTATAAATCATTTTCGACCTTATTTATATGGCAAACCCTTTAAATTATATACAGATCACATGCCTCTCATCTACCTTTTTATAGAGGAATACGAATTTGAAATAATTTATAAATCAGGAAAATCTAACACCAATGCCGATAGCTTATCTAGATCTTTCTTCGATTTACAAAAACTAGCCTTAGATACTACTAATAATGATATTTCTGCCAATGCAGTTCAAATGTCACTTTTGACATTTTGTCCGCGTAGATCAAGAAATTAACTTTGAAAATTTTTTAAATACCATTTATTTATTTATTTATTTATACAGCACAATTGTACAATTATAGATATCAATGGTACATAACTAAAATTAATAGATAACATACTATATTAAATGAAATATAATTTACAAAAAACAAATGTTCACTTAAAATCTTATTCTAATTTTCACAGAATAGATTACTGAAAATTATAATTTAAATACTCATCAATAGAGTAAAAAACTTGCTCTTTAAAAAATGTGTTGAGTAGTTTATAAAATTTCTTATTATCAACTTCTCTAATACCTAGTGGCAGCTTATTGTAAAGCATTATGCCCAGACCATCTAAGGTATTAAATGTAGAGGCAAATTTCAAAGTGGGACCTTTTACAAGTTTATGTCTTGTGTCATGATAAATACATTCGGGATTTGGGCTTAAATTAAACAGGTTACCATTATTTTTTATAAAACAGAGGGTGATTAGGAGAAAAATGCATGGAACAGGTAGAATCTTGTGCTCATGGAAAAAAGGTCGACAAGATGTAGTGGACGAAAGGGAAAACATAACTCTGATTGCTTTTTTCTGTAATTGAAAAACTGATGTTAGTAACGGTGAAAACCCCCAAAATTGAATGCCGTAAATTACATTAGAATAAAAATATGAGTAATAAATAGTGAAAAGGCTCTCCTTGCTTACTTTCATTTTTAAATTACGAAGCATAAAGCAGGTTTTTGATAATTTAGGATTCAGAGTGTTAATAATGTGATGATCCCATTTCATATTGTTACTAATATTTATACCAAGAAATTTTGTATTATTCAAAAACTCATAAGTGTTATTATTAAAGATGTACGGGGAAATATCTCGACAAATTTTATTATTATTATTAAAAGAAATTAATTTCGTTTTGTTATTATTCAATACAAGATTATTATTTTGAAACCAATTGGAAACTGAGAGCATGACATTATTGAGTTTTTTTAATAGTTGTTCGTGAGTTTTTGCTTTAATGACTAAACATGTATCATCTGCAAATAAGATGAAGTCACACAGATTAG